AGCCAGTTCTAGTCCACATCTTGCTAGTTCTAAACCCAGACCGCGTTTTTCATGCTAATTTGTTATTTCTGGGTTTCACGTTAGTTCTAGCTTCTATCCCACTAGTTCTAGCTTGTATACAGCCAGTTCTAGCCCACATCTTGCTAGTTCTAATTCTAGTCCATATTTTTTTCATGCTAAGTTATTAATTCTAGGTTCTACGTTAGTTCTAGCTTCTATCCCACTAGTTCTAGCTTGTATACAGCCAGTTCTAGCCCACATCTTGCTAGTTCTAAACCCAGCCCGCGTTTTTTTCATGCTAAGTTAGCCCACATCTTGCTAGTTCTAAACCCAGCCCGCGTTTTTTTCATGCTAAGTTCTTAGTTCTGTGTTCCATGTTAGTTTTAGCTTTAATCCAACTAGTTCTAGCTTGTATACAGCCAGTTCTAGCCCAAATCTTGCTAGTTCTAAACCATGCCCTCGTTTTTTCATGCTAAGTTGTTTATTCTAGGTTCTACGTTAGTTCTAGCTTCCATCTCACCAGTTCTAGCTTGTATATAGCCAATTCTAGCCAACATCTTGCTAGTTCAAATTTCAGCCCGCATTTTTTTCATGCTAAGTTGTTATTTCTGTGTTCCACGTTAGTTCTAGCTTCTATCCCACTAGTTCTAGCTTGTATACAGTTAGTTCTAGCCCACATCTTGCTAGTTTTAAACTCAGCCCGTGTTTTTTACATGCTAAGTTCTTAGTTCTAGGTTCTACGTTATTTCTAGCTTCTATCCACTAGTTCCAGCTTGTATACAGACAGTTCTAGCCCACATCTTGCTAGTTCTATACCCAGCCCGCGTTTTTTTCATGCTAAGTTATTATTTCTGGGTTCCATATTAGTTCTAGCTTCTATCCCACCAGTTCTAGCTTGTATACAACCAGTTCTTGCCCACATCTTGCTAGTTCTAATTCCAGCCCATGTTTTTTTCATGCTAAGTTGTTATTTCTGTGTTCCCCATTAGTTCTAGCTTCTATCCCACTAGTTCTAGCTTATATACAGCCAGTTCTAGCCCACATCTTGCAATTTCTAAACCCTGCCCTCGTTTTTTACATGCTAATTTGTTATTTCTGTGTTCCACGTTAGTTCTAGCTTCTATCCCATTAGTTCTAGCTTGTATACATCCAGTCCTAGCCTACATCTTGCAAGTTCTAAACCCAGCCCATGTTTTTTACGTGCTAAGTTGTTAATTCTAGGTTCTGCGTTAGTTCTAGCTTCTATCTCACCAGTTCTAGATTGTATACAGCCAGTTCTAGCTCACATCTTGCTATTTCTAATTCCAGCCCGTTTTTTTCATGCTAAGTTGTTATTTCTGTGTTTCACGTTAGTTCTAGCTTCTATCCCACTAGTTCTAGCTTATATACAGCCAGTTCTAGCCCACATCTTGCAATTTCTAAACCCTGCCCGTGTTTTTAACATCTAAGTTCTTAGTTCTAGGTTCTACGTTAGTTCTAGCTTCTACGTTAGTTCTAGCTTCTATCCCACTAGTTCTAGTTTTATACAGCCAGTTCTTACCCACATCTTGCTAGTTCTATACCCTGCCCGTGTTTATTTCATGGTAAGTTATTATTTTTGGGTTCCACGTTAGTTTTAGCTTCTATCCCACTAGTTCTAGCTTTTATACAGCTAGTTCTAGCACACATCTTTCTAGTTCTAATTCCAGCCCATGTTTTTTTCATGCTAAGTTCTTAGTTCTGGGTACCACGTTAGTTCTAGCTTATATCCCACTAGTTCTAGCTTGTATACAGCTAGTTCTAGCCCACATCTTGCTAGTTCTAAACCCAGCCTGCGGTTTTTTCATGCTAAGTTGTTAATTCTGGGTTCCACCTTAGTTCTAGCTTCTATCCCACTAGTTCTAGTTTGTATTCAGCCAGTTCTAGCCCACATTTTGCTAGTTTAGACCCAGCCCTAGTTTTTTCATGCTAATTTGTTATTTCTGGATTCCACGTTAGTTCTAGCTTCTATCCCACTACTTCTAGCTTGTATACAGTCAGTTCTAGCCCACATCTTGCTAGTTTTATACCCAGCCCGGATTTTTTATGCTAAGTTGTTATTTCTGGGTTCCATGTTAGTTCTAGCTTCTATCCCACTAGTTCTAGCTTGATGCTAAGTTGTTATTTCTGGGTTCCATGTTAGTTCTAGCTTCTATCCCACTAGTTCTAGCTTGTATACAGCCAGTTCTAGTTCTAGCTTCTATCCCACTAGTTCTAGCTTGTATACAGCCAGTTCTAGCCCATATCTTGCTAGTTCTAATTTTAGCCCGTGTTTTTTTCATGCTAAGTTGTTAATTCTAGGTTCTACGTTAGTTCTAGCTTCTATGTCACTAGTTCTAGCTTGTAAATAGTCAGTTCTAGCCCATATCTTGCTAGTTCTAAACCCAGCCCGTGTTTTTTTCATGCTAAGTTCTTAGTTCTGTGTTGCACGTTAGTTCTACCTTCTATCCCACTAGTTCTAGCTTGTATACAGCCAGTTCTATCCCACATCTTGCTAGTTCTGAACCCTGTCCGTGTTTTTTACATGCTAAGTTCTTAGTTCTTGGTTCCACGTTAGTTCTAACTTCTATCCCACTAGTTCTAGCTTGTATACATCCAGTTCTTGCCCACATCTTGATAGTTCTAATCCCATCCCGCATTTTTTTTCATGCTAAGTTGTTAATTCTGGCTTCCACCTTAGTTCTAGCTTCTATCACACTAGTTCTAGCTTGTATACAGCTAGTTTTAACCCACATCTTACTAGTTATAAACCCAACCCGCTTTTTTTCATGCAAAGTTGTTAATTCGGGCTTCCACCTTAGTTCTAGCTTCTATCTCTCCAGTTCTAGCTTATATACAGCCATTTCTAGCCCACATCTTGCTAGTTCTTAACCCTGCTCTCGTTTTTTACTTGCTAATTTGTTATTTCTGTGTTCCACGTTAGTTCTAGCTTCTATCCCACTAGTTCTAGCTTGTATGCAGCCAGTTCTAGCCCACATCTTGCTAGTTCTAAACCATGCCCTCGTTTTTTTCATGCTAAGTTGTTTATTCTAGGTTCTACGTTATTTCTAGCTTCTATCTCACCAGTTCTAGTTTGTATACAGCCAGTTCTAGCCCACATCTTGCTAGTTCTAATTCCAGCCGTCATTGTTTTCATGCTAATTTGTTATTTTTGTGTTCCATGTTAGTTCTAGTTTCTATCCCACTAGTTCTAGCTTGTATACAGCCAGTTCTAGCCCACATCTTGCTAGTTCTAAACCCAACCCGTGTTTTTTACATGCTAAGTTCTTAGTTCTAGGTTCTACGTTAGTTCTAGCTTGTTCTAAACCCAACCCGTGTTTTTTACATGCTAAGTTCTTAGTTCTAGGTTCTACGTTAGTTCTAGCTTGTATACAGCCAGTTCTAGCTTGTATACAGCCAGTTCTAGCCCATATCTTGCTAGTTCTATATCCAGCCCGCGTTTTTTTCATGCTAAGTTGTTATTTCTGGGTTTCACGTTAGTTCTAGCTTCTATCTCACCAGTTCTAGCTTATATACAGCCAGTTCTAACCCACATCTTACTAGTTCTAATTCCAGCCCGCGTTTTTTTCATGCTAAGTTGTTATTTCTGTGTTCCTCGTAAGTTCTAGCTTCTATCCCACTAGTTCTAGCTTATATACAGCCAGTTCTAGCCCACATCTTGCTAGTTCTTAACCCTGCCCTCATTTTTTATATGCTAATTTGTTATTTCTGTGTTCTACTTTAGTTCTAGCTTCTATCCCACTAGTTCTAGCTTGTATACAGCCAGTCCTAGCCCACATCTTGCTAGTTCTAAACCCAGCCCGTGTTTTTTACATGCTAAGTTGTTAATTCTAGGTTCTACGTTAGTTCTAGCTTCTATCCCACTACTTCTAGCTTGTATATAGCCAGTATTAGCCCAAATCATACCAGTTCTAAACCCAACCCGCTTTTTTTCCATGCTAAGTTATTAATTCTGGGTTCCACGTTAGTTCCAGCTTCTATCCCATTAGTTCTAGCTTGTACACAGCCAGTTTTAGACCACAACTTACTAGTTCTAAACCCAGCCCTCGTTTTTTTCATGCTAAGTTGTTAATTCTAGATTCCACGTTAGTTCTAGCTTCTATCTCACCAGTTCTAGCTTGTATACAACCTGTTCTTGCCCACATCTTATTAGTTCTAAACCCTTCCCTCGTTTTTTTTCATGCTAAGTTGTTAATTCTAGGTTCTACGTTAGTTCTAGCTTTTATCCCACTAGTTCTAGCTTGTATACAGCCAGTTCTAGCTCACATCTTGCTAGTTCTAAAACCAGCCTTCGTATTTTACCTGCGTAGTTTTTATTTTTGCTGTCGTGTTATTTCTAGCTTAGTCAATATTTGTTCTAGCTGCTATGGTTTTAGTTCTAGATGCTGTCGTGTCTGTTCTATCTTAGCCATTGTCAGATCTATTTGTTTTCGTGTAGTTCTAATACTTACAACATTTTTGCTAGTGGAGATGATGCTAGTTCTCATCACACATGAGAATACTTTCAACATTAAACAAAACGTACTAGTTTGTAAATATACAAGCAAAACAGTTAACAACATATCAAGTACTTAGTCAGCAATAGATTCATTACATGTTTTACGGTTGTGACCTTCCACCTGACATCGAGAGCATTTAAGTGGCTGGGTGTAAACTGTTCTGTTGTTGTTACGCCTGGTCTTATTTCTCCCTTTCCTTTTTGTTGTTAATGGTGGTAGGATCTGTATCTCCTCCCGTGGTACGCTACGCTTCTCATAATCGGGGATGGGGTAGAGGATTGGCTCGTAGCTCTTTTTAAAAGCTTCAACCGTCATAAACCAGTCACAGAATTGGTAAACATCCCTCTTCATAAACATAATGGTTGCGCATGCATGTTTGCAAGGGATACGTGTTACATCCCACGCGCGGCACGTGCATGTTTTATTGTCAAGATCCACTTTACAAGTTTTATGAGATTGTACCTCAAATAATCTTGTATGAGACTAACACACATCCAATGGACTCCCATTTTCCATGTTCTCTTTGAGGACAAGTTCATCTTTGGGACAAAGAAATCCATTCCAACTTTCAGCCATTAATCGTCGCTCATTCATGCGAACCATAATCTGTTTACATATGTGTTCTACGAGTTGTAGTATTCGTAGAAGCCTAGCCTCATGTATCCATTTGTTGAATGACTCTGCAACATTTGATGTAACGTGACCATATCTGGAACATAACAGGGAATTCATCAAAAATACTGAGTTATTTGTCATGTCAGTTCTAGCTGAGTAGTTCTTTGTGAAAGTTTCTATCGTGATAGTTCTAGATGGTACCCAGTTAGTTCTAACTCCAGCTAACTGGGTTATTACCCATATTCTATTACAAGTGTTGGGTATATCGCCTATGTTAGTTCCGACTAGGTTATAGTTAGTTCCAGTGTATCCATTCATGTCTAATTTAGTTAGGCAAACAACTAACTGAAATAAGAAATAACATAGCTTATAAATTACCTAATTCCGGGGAAAATGCGTTAGCCCAGTTCTCTGGAGCGTAGTACATGACAATATTGTAGGCTCGTTCGTCCGCTAGTCTAATGTCCTCCACATAGTCATTCCATTCTGCTTTAGTATATTTGTAACAAGCAGATTGAAAAAGGTTGCCCAAAATCCGAGTATCCTTTGCCTTGAAACCCAAATCCCACAACTTTGTCCTGAAATTCTCAACTAGATGCAGAACACATCTAGAGTGTATAGCATCCGGAAAATATTTTCTGACTGCTTCTCTGATCCCCTTATCCGCATCAGATATTATAACTAGCTTGTGTGGAGGGTTGTATGGATCTGGCCTTTCATAGAGAATAGACCATAAACCTATAAATATTTGTAGTTAACATATTTGAAGTTAGAGTTAACAACGAAATATTTGTAGTTAACATATTTGAAGTTAGAGTTAACAACGAATGAGTTAGAACTAGCATGAATTCTAGTAGAACTAACATGACCCGAACTAACCTTGTAAGAACCAATTCCAGTTTACAGTATTTTCCTGATCGCAGATGCAATAGGCTAATGGAAATATCCCCTGATTTCCATCGTATGCAACGGCGCTGAGGAGTATACCTTTGAAACGGTCTTTCAGAAAGGTACCATCCAAAAATATAAGTGGTCTACAACCGTTCAAAAACCCATTTATGCAGGCGGCATAACAGATGAATAGCTTTGAAAACCTCCCCTCATTTTGTTCAACATGAATGTAGCTACCTGGGTTTGTCTTCTTAACCTCTTCTACATACCTAGACCATTGAAGATTATATGTTAGGATCAACATAAATGAAATTAGTGTCTATATTATAGATATTATCTTCTTTTACCATCGTAATTGATCGTAGGACTCATGGGCATCACCATATAGTTGCTCTTGTGCTCTTTCTTTACCCCACCATATCTTGCTATAATCGACCCTAAGCCCATACGAAGTTAGTAACTCCTTTTGTACATCGATAGGTCGTAAATCTGGTCGGACCTTTAACGTGGGTAATACTTGGGTCGCAATGAATTGTCGTGATGCCCTAGATTGACCTGCATTATTGTCAAAATTCCCACATGTCTGGTTGTCGACGAAGGTTTTGATTTCAAGTCTGTTCTCATTTTGTGTTGGAGAGGCAAATAACAACTACGGGCAATTTTAGGCTTCCTTGAACCGACAAAAGACTCGAATACGCTTCCGTTCATTCTTAGCAAACAAGTACTCAAATTTTTTGGCCATGGAATAGTATAGTAAAGCCAATCTTAATTCCTTCGCACTCTCAAACCGTTGTCCCTCACCGGTTAAAGCAGTGTGCCACCAAGCAGGAATCCTCTCTGATCTGCTAATCATGTCATCAATCATCGGAACATTATCTCAAAAAGGATTATCATTGGTGATCCTATCTGAAGCACATGTGGGCGTCGACAACGGCGGGCCACCCTCTATGCTTTTTGAGTTCATACTGCTGGTAGCGCTGCAAATTTAAAGAACATGAACAAATGATCATAAACTATACAATAGAAACATCAACAAATAACACAAATAAGGAAAAGGCAAAAAAACATCAACTGCTTGTGTTATAACTATCGTGGAATCCAATTGAACTAAAAACATCAACTGCTTGTGTTATAACTATCGTGGAATCCAATTGAACTAACAATATTTCATTTAGAACTAATATGAAAACGTTTAGACCGAACATGAAGTCACTTAGAACTAACATGTTGGACCTAACACAGTTTGAACTATATCTCATAGCAAATCGATTAGCACTAACAATAAGTCTATTGGAACTAACAACTAATAGATTATACTTAACAATAAATCTATTAGAACTGACATTAACTGATATTACATGAATTAACGTAGTACCTAGAATTAACAACTTAGCATGAAAAAAACACGGGCTGGGTTTAGAACTAGCAAGTTGTGGGCTCGAACTGGATGTATACAAGCTAGAACTAGGGTAATAGAAGCTAGAACTAACGTAATAGCTAGATTTAACAAGTTTTTATTTAAAAACACTGGTTGGGATTAGAACTAGCAAGTTGTGGGCTAGAACTGATTGTATACAAGCTAGAACTAGTGAGATAGAAGCTAGAACTAACGTAGAAGCTAGAATTTACAAGTTTGCATTAAAAACGCGGGCTGGGTTTAGAACTAGCAAGTTGTGGGCTAGAACTGGCTGTATACAAGCTAGAACTAGAGTAATAGAAGCTAGAACTAACGTAGAAGTAAGAATTATTAAGTTTGAATTAAAAAACGAGGGCTGGGTTTATAACTAGCAAATTGTGAGCTAGAACTAGCAAATTTATTAGAATCCGAGCTATAATCCAATGAACTAATATTAACTGATATTACATGAATATTGGTCTTAGCATCAAAAAAAATCCTTGCCCCTACATGTCATCTCGAACTTGAACGGTGCTGTGGACTTTTGAAGAATCCTCTTTTTCCTTGAAAGCTTGCATGTGAACCTCCTTTAATCCTCTGTTATGGCAATGCTCCACCATAGACGACAGATCCCCCTCGTTCTCAATAGGAAATTTGAAGCTTTCATTTGTTTCATCTTTGAATGACAAACTTAATGATTCATATGAAAGATCTAACCTATCTGACACATCAAATTTTAGATCAAGAATGGTGGTTGAAGTGTTAATCTTCATGAATACTACTCTATTACCCGAAGCTACGATGCAGGTGATGTTCTTTTCAGCCATTATGAAGTGGAGGGAAGAGTAATGGAGAGAATTTTGGTCTGAGGAAGAGTAATGGAAGAGTAATGGATAACTAGATATTTATTGCTCATGATAGACTGAAAAAGGGGGGAAATTTCCCTCCATTTCTTACAGTAGTTTGCATTTAATGGGATGTGACGAAGAGTGGTGACGAAGCGTCTGGGGAAGAAGGAGAAGGGCAAAGTTGGGTTTTTTCAAAATACAATACATCTGGCTGTATACAGCTGACGTGGAGGGCCCTAGAAACATTAAAGGCTGCTTTTTGGGGCTTATACACAAGGGGGGAAATACAAGGGGCCTCGTCACATGATTTTTCAGCTTTTGGGGCCCCGACACATTTTTCCCAAAATACTAACAAACATTCATCTAGCATAATAGGATGAACATAGGCAACCATATCTTGCCTCAACAAAGGATTTAATTTGTGGAAGAGAAATTGAGATAAACATACGCAGTAAAGATCATCGTTCACTGAAGCGAGATAATTAGCATCGTAAGTTCATGCATCGACTAAATACTAATTTAATTTTTTTGTTTGAAATGCTAAATCATTTATTTCAATGTACAAAAAAGATATGCTCATAGATTTGGATCTTTGACTCTTGGTATTATGAACAGATTCAATGCATATAGAATAAAATTAAGTATTTAAGCATTATATGTTTGCACTATAATTTCGTGAAACAAACTGACTAATGAGATACTCTTCCAAATATATGTAGGAATTCCTATCGGATAATCTCTATCTCTGATCTATCCATCTTCTATATCATCCTTTATATTCGGTTGTCTCTTCTTTTGCTCGATTTGATTTGTTCTTTTTTTTTAAATTCTAGTCGTGTTATAATATGAAAATATAATTTGTAAACTAACAACATGAGAAAATTAGGATGGTAGGTTAGTTTGGGATCATATTTGTAATTTTTTTAGATTACAATTGTGTATATGAGTAGTGGGTGGGATTTATGATCATAGAGAACCCACCGTAAAAGTATGTGGAACATCTATCCCGAATTACGTATTGTTTGCGTCAAAAGTTGGTTTTGTCATGGAATTCATTATATCTTCGGTCGATTACAATAAATTCAAAAAAGAGATAGCCTTTTTATAAGACTTTTTTTACACAACAAAATGAAAATTACAACTCTTGAGAAACAAACACAGAATCGTTGTTTGGATCGCTGCTTGCGTGGGATCTTTGCCTGTGCCCGGGGTGCGTTAGCCCGTGGACCACCAAATCACAGATTCTGATCGAATCGTGAGGGGTTTATGATTCTGACTTCGTTTATCGAAGTGAGAACTTGAAACGATATCTTATCAAGGTAAGATAGTCGTTCTTCTTGAAATCAAGTCAAAGCCTGAATATCAAGGAGTCGCCAGAAGCTCAAGAACTTTGCTCTCTCTCTGCTCTAGATTGCTCTGAAGTGCTCAAAATGATCAGCCCCTGTGAAAAATGGCCTTCGGGGGGTATTTATAGCCTCTATGAACAGTTGGTGGAAAACAGGCTCGCGAGACAGCCTTTGCTGTCTTGGCTGTCGAGACAGTGTTTGCTGTCTCGACGGGCGAGACAGTGTTTGCTGTCTCGGCCCGCGAGACAGTAAAGACTGTCTAGCGTGGGCGAGACAGTAAAAGCCTGTCTCTCCCGCGAGACAGTAAAGACTGTCTCGCACAGCGAGACAGTCAAGTCTGTCTCGCGTGTGAGATAGTAAAGACTGTCTCGCGTGTGAGACAGTCTATACTTGTGTTCTTTTTGATATTTTGGATGACTTCCTTTTGAGCTGTGTTTGGATATCTCTCAGCATTTTTTGACGTCTATAGATACCCCCTCCAAAGTATTCCAGACTCAATCTTTTATAGAGGAGTTCTGGGATGCTTTGGATAAGATATGTATTACTTATGATCCTTTCCATGCTTGGTTGGGTAGATCGTATAGAAGAATCTGTAGATGGCTTCAACATTTGATCTCTTTGTCTCTCAGTCTATTCAGTGCTTTGTAGAATAGCTAAGATTCTTCCGGCATGGCATTCATCGCTTGACCGTCATCGAGATTCTGAATTGAAGCTGAAATTTGTACTCGTGAATTCAGCTTTTGTCATCAAATTGATACCACATTGTTAATCAATGTATCAGTCTTCATAGGAACACAGTTTATACTCATGTATTTTTTGGAGTTTTTGGGAAATAGTTTAACCTCGTATACCCGTTGGGAGGTAGCCAGGTTATTCTTAAGAATATTTTGAGTAATATTCTCCAGAAACTTCCTGTTGATGGTAGGAAAACAGTTTAGACTCGTATACCCATTGGAGTACTATGGTCTCTTTTTTGTTGGTAGAGATGAACCCGATGATGGAGAGGAAGAATTTTATATTCTATCTCCTGATCTCTTGTTTGTTGGTACAGATGAACCCGGAATCGGAGAAGAAGAATTTTATATTATATCTCCTGGTCTCTTGTTTGTTGGTAGAGATGAACCCGATGATGGAGAGGAAGAATTTTATATTCTATCTTCTGGTCTCTTGTTTGTTGGTAGAGATAAACCCGGAATCAGAGAGGAAGAATTTTATATCCTATCTCCTGGTCTCTTGTTTGTTGGTAGAGATAAACCCGGAATCGGTTTAGTGTTTATCACTTTGTTCATAATGATCGGGTTATCCCTAAGAATATTACATTTAACATTCTTCCGGGAACTTCCCGTTACATGAATTATCCACCCCCAGCTTTCTTTGCAAAACTGGGTGTAACGAGGAGTACGTTATCCTCAGTCGCATGTTCGGGTTATCCTTAAGAATATAAGATTCTCCAGGAACTTCCCGTTATATAAATCATCCACCCCCAGCTTCCTTTGCGAAACCGGGTTTAACATTGTACTCGGTTGGATAACCGAGAAGCAGTTTATACTCATATGCTCTTTTGAGTGTGGGGAAACAGTTTATACTCGTGCACACACTGGAGTTGTATGGTCGTCTTTACTCGACTTCTTTCGTCGTTATGATGCCGGAGTCAATTAGGGCTTGGATCTTGTTTTTGAGTCCAAAGCAAATCTTGGTGGGATGAAGAACCCTTCTGTGATACGCACAATAGTTTGGATCCGTACTCCTCTTAGCTCCATCCTGATCTTTAATAGGTGGTAGCTCGATTTTGTCATTAGCGAGGAGGTATTCCAATATGGCTGGGGCTTCATCATCTTCGAAAGAATATTCCTTTTGAAACCTCGGATCGAGAGTCGCATTCTCAACGATTGCAGATGTCATTGGTTGGCCTCTCTCAGCTTTCTTTCTTTTAAGAAAGTGCTCAGCTTGTTCACCCCGAGATTTTAACTCCTTCCAAGTTGTGGATGGCACGACCCCCAGAGCTTCCAGGACATCGATGGAGAGGTTATTGTGGCATGTTTGCAGGATGAACTCCTCTGTAATAGGATCTCTGCAATTCATTGCTTTGTTACGGAAACGTTTGACAAAATTGTCAACTGACTCTCCGTCTTTTTGCTTCTCATCCAAAAGGGTTCTGATTGACACTTCGGTGTCATCATCGAAGAAGTTGCTGAGGAACAAACTTTCCATGTCATCCCAGCAATTGACGCTCTCTGGCTTGAGCCGTCGGTACCAATCGAAGGCGGGCCACGAAGGGTGCCAACGAATGACCGAACCATTAAAGCCTCGTTTCCAGAAATCATGCCTAAATGAGACTTGAAATAAATCAAGTGTTGAATAGGCGAGCTCTTCCCCTCAAACGGTGTGAAGTTAACCAGATTGAATTTGGCCGGGTATGGTATTGAATCCCATTCTCTTGGATAGGGACACAGAATACCTGTCTTTTTCCCTTCTTGAGCCGTCATTAAAGCGTTAATTTTGTTTTCAAGCTCTTTCATTTTCCCGTCATCGTCTATGTCTTCATTCGAATGACGTTGAGGAGAATGAGTTAGACCACCCCCTGTGAGAGGTGCCATTGAACTACTCCCAATATCGTTATTGGGAGAATGTGTTAAACCACCCCCAGCGTTATTTTTATTGGGAGGTGTATCAGCCATAATGACTTCATCCACTTCTGGATCACTGTCATCCATAACTTTCTGAGTGTGGCGGCTGGATTCAGTTCTTTGACTGGGCTCAGGGGGTTGAGGCCACTGAGCTAGCAATTCTCTTATTTGTTGGATAGCTAACTCTATTTCTGTCTTCATTTCAGCTCTAATTTCTTCACGTTGTTTGGCTAGAGCTTCTTGAAGTATTTGAGCAAATTGATCAGAGGTGATCGTGAGTACTTCTCTGGTTTGTCCCGTGCTAGACATTGTATCATCAGAAGCGATTGCAGAACAAGTGTCCGAGAATTCATCCTCCGAGGACATTCCTTCTTGCATTCTCTTGTAATTTCTGCGTCTGATGGCTCCTAATTGGAGTCGAGACATCCTTTGAGCAATTCTTGGATTGACTTTTCCTCTCGGGGAAAAGTCGGGATTTGAGTCACTTGAATGCCGCTTAGACTTTCTTTTATCAGCCACGTTGATGGTGACTTTAGGGAATTCATCATATTGGGCAGCTGATTTTCTCTTGCAGAAATGCCTCGGCTTAAGCTTCGACATTTCGGTGAAAAGACTGTAGAATACCGAGACTCTTCGTGAGATGGCTTCTCGTTTGAAACAGTCACATTCTGATAGCATTGCTCTAATGAGTCGCGCACAGGAACAATGGGAGTTCATTTCCCGGACAGTTCTCTTTCAGGTTGAAGGATTTGCCGCGACAGTGAAGACTGCCGCGGTCACAGGTTGGATTATGCAGACCCGATTTTAGTACGAGTTTGGATTTGTAGATCCATACTCTGTGATTCTTTGGTGATTCCTTAGACACTGTTTCCTTCTTCCCTTCTTGTCTTTGTTGTAAAAGAGCACGGGCATGAGCAGCGTTTGCACGACGTTTTTGTATACGTTCTTTGAGGGTTGAGCGAGCCCTTTTGACGAGTGTCCATTCCTCCGTCGTGAATTGTGCAGA